CCTGTAATCCCAGCTACTTGGGAGGCTGAGGCTGGAGGATTGTTTGAGCCTAGGAGATTGAGGCTGCAGTGGGCAGTGATCATGCTACTGCACGTAAGCCTGGATGACAGAGTGAGACTTTGTCTCAAAAAAAGACAGAAACCTTGTTTTTAAAAAAATGGACAGAAGATTTGAACATATAATTCATAAAAGAGGATGTAAAAATGGTCAATAATTGGACACAGGGAGGGGAACATCACATACCGGGGCCTGCCAGGGGGTGAGGGCCAAGGGGAGGGAGAGCATTAGGACAAATACCTAATGCATGAGGGGCTTAAAACCTAGATGACAGGTTGATGGGTGCAGCAAACCACCATGGCACATGTATATCTATGTAACAAACCTGCATGTTCTGCACATGCATCTTAGAACTTAAAGTTAGAAAAAAAACAAATGGACCGGGCGTGGTGGCTCACGCCTGTAATCCCAGTACTTTGGGAGGCCGAGACAGGCGGATCTCCTGAGGTCAGGAGTTTGTGACCAGCCTGGCCAACATGGTAAAACCCCGTCTCTACTAAAAATAAAAAAATGTACTGGGTGTGGTGATGCGTGCCTGTAGTCCCAGCTACACGGGAGGCTGAGGCAGGAGAATTACTCGAACCCGGGAGGTGGAGGTTGCAGTGAGCTGAGATCACGCCACTGCACTCCAGCATGGGCGACAGGCAAGACTCCATCTCAAAAAAAAAAAAAAAAAGCCAATAAACACATGAAGAGGCACTCAACATTATTGGCCATCAGAGAAACGCAAATTAAACCACTATGAGACACCAAAAGGGCTAAGATTAAAGAGAGACAACAGCAAGCACTGGCAGGGACGTGGGGAAAGGTGGAACTCTCTTACACTGCTGGTGGGGAGTGGGAGTGTGTCAGTACATCCCCTCTGGGAAAAGGTTTAGTAGCACCTACCAAAGCTAACTACATGTGTAACCGAGTGACCCAACAATGCCATTCCTAGGTTTATAGAGGATACATGAGTGCTTACAGCCACAAATCACATATGCAAGAATGTTCACAATGCTCTACTCATAAAGCTAAAACCTGGAAACAACACAAATGTCTATCAACAGTAGAATGGATAAACGGGGTGTATCACAATGAAATGCGAACCAGCATAAGACAGTACAAACTACAGTCCACCCCCCTCCCTAACTGTGAGTTCTGTGTACACAGATTCAATGAACCCTGGACTCAGAACCCGAGGATATGGAGCGCCAACTTTAAGGGACTTCAGCATCCATGGAGTTTGGTATCTGAGTGGGGTCCTGGAACCAATTCCCTGAGGATACTGAGGGAACACTGTATTGATATAGGCAGTATTCATGGGTGAATCTCATGGAGATAACTTTGAGTAAAAGTATGCACAGGCCAGCTCAGTGGCTCATGCCTGTGATCCCAGCACTTTGGGAGGCCAAGGCGGGTGGATCACGAAGTCAGGAGTTCAAGACCAGCCTAGTCAACATGGTGAAACCCCATCTCTACTAAAAAATACAAAAAATTAACCAGGTGTGGCCGGGTGCGGTCGCTCACGCTTGTAATCCCAGCACTCTGGGAGGCTGAGGCAGGCAGATCATGAAGTCAGTAGATCGAGACTATACCGGCTAATACAGTGAAACCCCGTCTCTACTAAAAACATACAAAAAATTATCCGGGCATGGTGGCAGGTGCCTATAGTCCCAGCTACTCAGGAGGCTGAAGCAGGAGAATGGTGTGAACCCGGGAGGCAGAGCTTGCAGTGAGCTGATATCTGATAATGCGCCACTGCACTCCAGTCTGGGTGACAGAGGGAGACTCTGTCTCAAAAAAAAAAAAAAAGAAATAACATGTGGTGGCAGGCACCTATAATCCCAGCTACTCAGGAGGCCGAGGCAGG